AGTTTACACAGCTAGAAAGTAAGGAAGTTTGGGTTAGGCATGGTGACTCATGCCTGTAATCCCACCACTTTGGGGGCTAAGGTGGAAGAATCACTTGAGCTCAGGAGTTCAAGACCAGCCTGGGCAGCATAGTAAGGTCCCATCTCTACAAAAAAATCTAAAAATTAGCTGGGCATGGTGGTGTATGCCTGTAGTCCCAGCTACTTTGGAGGCTGAGATGGGAAGATCACTTGAGCCCAGGGGGTCAAGGCTGCAGTGAGCTGTGTTCATGCCACTGCACACCAGCCTGGTTATCAGAGTGAGACCCTATCTCAAAAAAAAATAGAAAGTTAGCGGGCGTGGTGGCTCACGCTTGTAATCCCAGCACTTTGGGAGGCCACGCCAGGTGAATCACGAGGTCAAGAGATCGAGACTATCCTGGCCAACATGGTGAAACCCTGTCTCTACTGAAAATACAAAAGTTAATTGGGTATGGTGGCATATGCCTGTAGTCCCGGCTACTCAGGAGGCTGAGGCAGAAGAATCACTTGAACCCAAAAGGCAGAGGTTACAGTGAGCTGAGACTGTGCCACTGCACTCCAACCTGGTGACAGAATGGTACTCCATCTTAAATAAATAAATAAATAAATAAAGTAATGAAGCCTGAGTGCAAACCCAGTTCTGTCTGATGCTAAAACCCACTGCTCCATCCTATGCCCCATGTGGTCAGGCCTAGTACCCACACGTAAAAATGAAGGGCAGCTTGTGTCTCTTTCTCACACTTCCTTCTGGGATTTGGTTCTTTTTCTCCACCACTGGCACATTCTCCATCTCTCTCTCTCTCTCTCTCTCACACACACACACACACACACACAACCACTTTCAATGGCAGTGCCTGCTTTTTCTTGTTTCATTCCCTTCACCAACATCATTGCAAACAAAACTTACATAGAATCAGCCACACCACGAGGAGAAAATGGACAGCACCCACAGCCTGAGGCTGAAGTCATTCCAGCCCTCCCTTTTCCTATGAAGGCTATTCCCTATTTCTTCCTTTTATAAACAGGAACACATTATGCAAGCTACTGTAGATGTGAGGTTTCTCAAGCAAGCTGGTGACACTCAGCATAAATTGATTTAAATAAAATTCTCCCCTTTCAAGATTCTTCCTTACTTCTGCCTCATCTTAAATTAAGAGCAGTACAATAATAACCCAAGAACATCACACCCCTGAATTTCAGCCACCTCTCTCTAAAGGATCTTTTCTCATTTTTTGAAAATATGAGCTATTTTTTGGTTTCCACTTGTTCCTCTTTCTTACTTGTCACCACACATTGCTTTCTGTATGATATAAGCAATTGGAGCCTTCACATTTAAAGCCTCTTTTTAGTGCATGAGATCCACAATAAGGCTCCCATGAGACCTTGTAAAGAAAAGAAATAACTTCAAGGAGTTACACTTCAAGATCCACCAAAGCAAAGATCTGCAGTCAACTCTAGTAATTAAGTGGTTCCATTCATTTATTCAGTGCATATCCACTGAGTATATACAATGTGCCGGACAAAACTCTGGGCACTAGTGATATAGCAGTGACTTGGCTCAAGGAAAAATAAATAACATGCTAATGATACTCAAACCTATGTCTCCTTCCTGAAACTCTTCCCTGAACTCTAGACTCTCATATGCAGTGAATTACTTAACATCTCCCATTGGATATCCAATTAAACCCCATCACTGTTTCCTCTCCATCTCACTAAAGTGCCACTCCATCCAGCTGCTTAGTTCAAAATTCATTAAGTTATCTTTTTCTCATACCCTAAGTATCCAACTCATCCATACATCCTGCCTACTTTATGAATTTAGCCACTTCTCACCATATTTTTTTTATTTTTATTTTTATTTTTATTTTTGACATGATCGCAACCCATTGTCCAGGCTGGAGTACAATGGCATTATCATGACTCCCTGCAGCCTCGACCTCCCCAGGCTCAGGAGATCTTCCCATCTCAGACTCCTGAGTAGCTGGGACTACAGGCATGTGCCACCACACCTGGCTAATTTTTTTATTTTTTGTAGAGTTGGAGTCTTGCCATGTTGCCCAGGCTGGTCTCAAAACACCTGAGCTCAAGTGATCCGCCCACGTTCACATCCCAAAGTGCTGGGATTGCAACTTCTCGCCATTTTAACTACTATCCAGCCTGGTCCAAACCACCACCCTCTCTCACCTGAGTCATTGCAGTACCATCCTGACTAATCTCTCTGTTTCTACCCTTGTCCTCTGAGAGTCTGCACTAAGCTCTAAAGCTCAAGGGATCCTTGGAAAACATAAATCATCTAATAGTACCCTGTGCTCAAAATTCTCCAGTGGTGTCCCATCTTTCTCAAAGTAAAGGCTAAAGTCTACGAAAGGCCCTATAGGACCTTGTATTAGCTGGCTCCCTGCTACTTCTCCGATCTCTTCTCCCACGCTCACCCTGTCTCATTCAGTTCCCTCTGCATAAGTCACCTTGCTGTTCCTGGAACATGCCAGTTATCTGTTGCCTCGGGGCCTTTGCACTTGTTCTCCCTACCTGGAAATGTCTTTCCCCAGATAACTGTCTGGCTCACTCCTTCACTTCCTTCATGTTACCCTGACCATCTTACATAAAATACCCACTCCTCGCTTTACCCTACCCTCCCACTCCAACGCAACCAGGCACCTCCCATCTTCCTTTCCCTGCTCAACGTTCCTTAATCACCTGATATAAAACATATGTTATTTACTTACATATTATTTGTCTCCCTCAACTAGAATGAATGCTTCATGAGATGGGTCTGCTTCCTATAACATGCCTGGCACATAGAGATCACTCAATAAATATTTATTTAGTGAATGAATGATTATCTAAACATACATACATCCCTACATGGTCAACCACAGAAACACAGAAAAAGAGACAGTCAAAAGAGCAAGTACAGACTCTGCCCAATCAAGCAGAGTCCAGAAGAAAAGGAAACCTAGCCAAGAGCACTTTAAATGTTCAGGTCCCGGTCAGGCGCGGTGGCTCACGCCTGTAATCCCAGCACTTTGGGAGGCCGAGGTGGGTGGATCACCTGAGGTTAGGAGTTTGAGACCAGCCTGACCGACATGGAGAAACCCCATCTCTACTAAAAATACAAAATTAGCCAGGCGTGGTGGAGCAGGCCTGTTGTCCCAGCTACTCAGGAGGCTGAAGCAGGAGAATCACTTAAATTCCAGAGGCAGAGGTTGCAGTGAGCCGAGATCACACCACTGCACTCCAGTCTGGGCAACAAGAGTGAAACTCCATCTCAAAAATAAATAAATAAATATTCAGGTCCCTATGGTAGATTGATTGATTGATTGATTGCAAAAATGTCCCAATTCTTCCCCTCCCTGTATCTATGCATTTTGTAATGTGACTATGTAGCTCCTTCTATCAAGAAGTAGAGTCTGTTTTCCTAACTTTCCACTCTGGGCTATCTTGTGTCTTAATTTTGTCATTAGACAAGGATAAAGTGATGGAGTGCCAGTTATAAGCTTAGGCCTCAAGAGGCCATATAAGTTTTCACTTTCTCTTGGCCTCCTGCCACTACCATGTGAACATGCTGAGCTGGCCTGCTGGAGGATGAGTGACCACACAGAGCAGAGCCAAGTCATCCAGCTGAGGCCATCCTAAAGCAGCCAGCCCTCAGACACTCCATCGGCAGACCAAAATCACATGAGCAAGCACAGCTGAAATCAAGCAAGCACAACTCAGATCAGCGGAACTACCCAGCCAACCAAAAGACAGGAGAGAAAATAACAAATGGCTGTTGTTTTAGGCCACGAAGTTTAGGGGTGGTTTGGTCTGTAGTCCCTTTGGCAAGATTGGCCCTAAAGCATGTAACCAGTTCCTAGGGTAGGCATCTAAGCTGCTTTACTCTGAATAATGTGCTTTAGGAGACCTTCTCCTTGTGATTTGGCTGTTATGACAGGGGTCTGTAGGAAGAAGACCCACTAACCAAGCCATACAGTGTCTCAACCACTGCAAATCAATATGCTGGCATGCAGGTGAACAAGGTCACTGTGATGTGGCCCGGAAAGACAGATCAGGTTTCTGAGGCAGCAATACTAAAAGCCGGATCTTGGATGGGGGAAATTCACAGAAGTAAATGTTGCCTTCTGAGGTGGACTTGGGGACACCCAGTCAGACTCTCTGACCTTGACCCAGCCTCACCTCATTCTATTTCACAGAAACTTTGACTAGGTTCTCAGGCATCCAGCTCCATTTCTGGCCATGGAATACACTGCAGTAGCCCTTCTGCACCAAGGACAGCTGAGTGATGAGGCTCTCAAATCCCCAAACCATATTTTCTCTAGAGTAATAAAGTTTCCAAAGGGCAGAGCAGCAAACTGATCTTTATGTTAAGCCCATAAGACAGAGGCTTTAAATAAATTTGCCATATGATATTATGTAAATGCATTCCATGGTCACTGAAGGTCAGCATATTTCCAGATGATCCCAACACTTTTCCATGATCATAGAAACTCTTCTCATGTTCAAAGAAAAAAGAATATCTGGCAAGGACTGCTGGCCTGTTTGCTAAAGATGACCTTCTCTTTTAGTGTAGGGGAAAAGAAACAAAAAATCTTAATACTAAGATTCAAAAGAAGCACAAACATGGTCCTCCATTCGGATGGGAGAAACCTGACTGCTGCATTGCACAGTCTCCTTAATTCCTGTGCTTCCTGTTGCCTTGCAAAGACCTATGCTTTCTGCTTGCTGCATTCATTTACGCTCTGAATGACCACAGGTACTTATGTCTACCAACCAACCTTCTTCTAAACACAGAGTTTAGGATTTCATCCAATTCCTTAAACAATAACTCAGCACATACATCATAGTGACAAATAGGAACCCTAAGAGGCAGTATCTCAAAGACCTGCCGTGTTGCCCTTATGACCTCAGCTCCTACTGCTGTCCTGGTGTCTGACTCAACAGCAGCTTCTGTGACCTCCTTTCTGGGTCTCTTGGGAACACACCTCTCTCCTGTCTCAGGGTTTTGCAGGTGCTGCCTACAACCCCTGGTTTTCTCCTTCACTTCCCCAGATGTCTGGTCAAATGTCATTTACCAGAATCCCTGGCTTCCTCCCTCACTTCCCCAGATGTCTGGTCAAATGTCATTTACAAAAAAGCCTTCCCTGGCCAAGCTGCATAAAAGTAAGTAACAAGCCCCACCCTGCCCTCTGGCAGCACTCCCCAGTCCTCTTAGCCAGCTTTATTTTTCTCCATTACAATGTCTCATCAGCTGATACACTCTATATTTATTTATTTGTCCATCATCTTACACACACACACATACACACACTCATTAATTTAAGCTCCTTGAGAGAGGGCTTTTTTGGTTGTTTTGTCTGTATTTTCCATACATAGAGCACTGACTGATACATAGTAGGAACTTAATGAATGAACTGCCATTGCTTGAGCACCTACTTTGTGCCAAGCAAGTTATATATGATGATAGGGTAACAATGAGTAAATATTTTAAAGTATCTTTTCTTTAACTATTATAAGAATCCTATTACTGTCTCCATTTTACAGATCAGGAAACTAATGCTCAAAGAGGGGCTAAGTAACTTGCCCAAGAAACTCACCTAGGTCTGTTTGAGCATCCACACTTATGCTTCTTACAGTGCAGGCTGCTTTTCAAACACCTTAGTGATGATGTAGGTGCATGTAATGCACATCTCTGGCAACTACACAATACAACAGCTTTTCATTCTATCATTTTTCTTCACCCATCACAGTTTTGGTCCAGGAAGAAACATCCTTGAGACTGGATTTTCATCTCCCAGAGACGATTGGTAGTAACAGCTTTAGCTTTCCGTTATTCCACCTATTTAGGGATAATCAAGGGAGAGCTTTCCTTTCGAACTGGGCTGGTACAAGAACAGATAGGTCAGGGATCCAGGGAGAAGCAGACAGAAGTTCATCTGCTCTGAAACTCCCTCAGAATTTTCCAGAGTCCCTACCTTTGTGAAGTGCTGCTTCAAAACCTTTATAGTCCTGGAATTCAGGAAAGCCATTCATTAAAAAAGGAAAAAATTAAAAGTCTGACTTGTATTGCATGTGCTCCTCTCTGGGTGTCCGCCTGTGTCTACTGGGTTCTAGTCACGTACTGCAAATACCAGCCCAGCCGAGACTTGTAAAGCTCTGCCCACCCACTGGCAGTGATGGCAATGGTGTGGTAGAGTCATGTGGGTCACTCCCAGACCGAAGGACCAAGAGAGCGACCCAGTCCCTGCTGAAATCCATGTCATGCCTAATCCATGAGGGCTTCATTTTTATACCAATCACAGCCACTATCAATTTCCTCCTCCTCTCTGCTCTCGCTGCTCTTTTCCAACACCATCATGAACTTATCCACCTCCTGATTATAAGTACTTCTCCCCCTACCAGGTGTGAACTTCAGGGAGCCAGGACTTTGTTATCATCATCTCTGCATCCCCACGGACTAATCCCATCTCTGACAAATACTAAGCGCTCAGTAAGTATTTGCTGACTCAAGAAAGATGCAGCACGAGACTGTACCTAGTTCACTGACTGGAACAAGCAGAACAAGTCACCTCTTCTGGAAAGGGCAGAAAGCAGAAATACAGAGGAGATCAACATAGACCAGCACCACCGCTGAGCCGACTACAGTGCCCAATCCTCCCCCATGCACCCTCCTCACCCCTCACCTGCCACTGTCTGAGCCCCAAAACCACCCACATTCACCTCCCCAAGGGCTAGAAAGGAGCAAGCATCCCCCAGCGTCCCACCCCACCCCACTGGGGCTGCTCTTATCAGAGCCCAAGACATCGACGTTAAGTTACCCTTAAACGGAGCAATTTACATCTGTAATTTCCGGATAAAGGAATGTATTTCATCAGCCCTGCTGAACCCTGGACAGCAGAGATTTCTACCACCCATCTGCCGAAGACACAGCAGTGCCTTGCTTCTCCCTGGCTAAAAGCATTTGCTAGCCCATCCCTGCAAAACAAGTCATGTTCTTTCCCTTGCGCTAAAACCCGTCCATAAACAAATCCTCTCTGTGTCCCTAAGAAACGGCCCCCACGCCCACGGAGGGCGCCCTACACATGCAGAAATACACACTCACAAACCCCAAGAGCCACCAGGTATAAGCACGTTTGAATTCTGTTCTTTAAGAACAAACGAACAACAATAACAAAATCCATCTACTAGAATGTAACTGAAACTAAAAGCAGTGGCTAGGAAGCTTATGGAAACGGAGCTATAAATGCCAGCAGCCTGACATTTATAAGTTGAAAAACTACTTATGGCGCTAATAGTTCAAACAGGGTTTAAAAACAGCCCTTGGGGAGGCCGCTTTCAGAGAAGCGCACAGCTCCAGGCAGCGGGCAAGCCCTTGCTTTTCTGCGCCGGCTTCCCAAGACTCTTCGGTCTTTTGTGCCATTTACTATGAACAGCACTCAGCGGTGCGAGCGTGTATATTTCAGGCCAGGCAGAAGCGCCTGGGAGTCCTGGCGCACGCTGGGTCCGCGCCCGGGCTGGGTCGGTTGCACCGCAGCGAGCAACGCCGTCCCCTACCTGGGTGGGAAATCCGCTGGCAGACGCCTCCGGATGCAGGCAGAGCAGCTTCCACCCCGGTAGCCCTGCGTGCAGCTCCGGCTAACGCGGCGCTGGGCGATCCGGGCGGAGGCAGTAGCCGGCCGGTGTCACACCTGCATCACCGCCCCCACGCCGCCGCCGCCAGCCGCCCAGGCGCAGCGCGCAGCGCGCAGCGCGCCCCCGCACTACAGAGCACCCGGGGCGGGAGGCTCCTGGGTCCTCTATTCAGCGGGATCAGATCCTAACCCGCTTTCTTCCCGGCCTGGGCATTAAAAGTATTCGCTGCGGACAGCTCTGCTTCTAAATCCCCTCTGATCCAAGGCTGGGTGTGGAGATAGCTCAGAGGGAAGGAGGACCAGTGAGGCCGCAAGGTCTCCGGATTTGCAGACTAATAGATATTAAACTTCTTATTCCTCGAGTTTTGTAACCAGCTGATCATGGGCGTCGTCTCGCTGTCTCCACCCCGCCTAGGGCGAGGGGGCGCTGTGGACTCCACATGCCCTTCCACCCACTCCGAGCTAGGATGCGTCAGAGGACTAGACGCAAGTTCCCGGGAAAGGGAATCCTCTGATCACGGCGCCCCCAAAGTATGTACTTTGGTGCTGTTCAACTGCTTTGTTTTCGTTTGCCTCATCAGGAACTGAAAAGAACCTACCTGACCAGCGCGGGGAGGAGGAAAGCCTGCGAGGCTTGGTGCATTCAAACAAGCCCTCCACCTCTTTCTCCCTACTTCCAAACCACCACCCACTAACTCCACTGAGGAGAGTTCAGCAAACTAAACTGCCAAGGCTCAGCACCGAAAGGCTCTTTAGGAGAATAGGGTTCCTTCTAGGAGGAAGTGAGGAGCAAGGAAAGGACACCGGAAATTTCGGACGCGGGTTCAAACAGTACAACACCGCAGATGCCTGGCCCGCTCTAGGATCCATATCATTACATGTATCAGTAGGTCATTTTTTTCTTATTGCTGAATAGTATTCTATTGCCTGAATATAACACAATTTATTTATCCTTTCTCCTATGAGTGGACATTTGAGTTGCTTCCAGATTTTAGCTGTGATGAATAAGGCTGCTATGAACGTTTTTTTGTTGTTGTTGTTGTTGTTGTTGTTTTGCGATGGAGTCTCACTGTGTCGCCCAGGCTGGAGTGCAGTGGCATGATCTCAGCTCACTGCAACCTCTGTCTCCCGCGTTCAAACAATTCTCCTGCCTCAGCCTCCCAAGTAGCTGGGATTACAGGCATGCGCCAACAAGCCTGGATAATTTTTGTATTTTTAGTAGAGACAGGGTTTTGGCATGTTGGCCAGGCTGATGTCAAACTCCTGACCTCAGATGATCCACCCACCTCAGCCTTCCAAAGTGGTGGGATTTCAGGTGTGAGCCACGGCGCACAGCCTGTTAATGAACATTTGATAGACATATGTACTCTTTTCTTTTGAATATGTAACTAGGAATAGAGTTGCTGGGTCACAAGATAAATACCTGTTTTTGCCTTAGTAAATAGATACAGTACTTTGCCTTAGTAGATACAGTACTACCAAACAGTTTTCCAAAGTGGTTGTGGCAATTTACAGTCCTAGTCCCATCGGCGATGTTTGAGAATTCCAGATGTTCTATTTCTTTGCCATAACTTGGCATTATCAGTGCTTTTAATTTTAGCCATTCTTGTGTGTAGTGTAAATTACATTGAAATTAAAACTTTGATATAGTTTTAATTTGTATTTCTTGATGATTACTAATGTTGAGCAATTTCTTATGCTTATTGGCCATTTGGATATTCTTTTGTAAAGTTTCAAGTCTTTTGACCAATTTATTGGTTTTTTTGTCTTTTTCTTACTGATCTGTAGGCACGCTCTCTGTTTTAGGTATAAATCCTTGGTTGGATATAATAGTTTTAATATCTTCTCCCTGTTTGGGGCTTATATTTTTATTCTCTTAATTTTAATGAAACACAACATTAATTTTTTCTTTTGTGATTAAAAGATGACTGCTTTTGTGTGTTTTAACAAATCTTTCTTTGTCTCAGAGTTGGGCATCTATTGTCTGATGTTTCTTTCCTTCTACAAGCCTTTGTTTTACCCTTTACATTTTAGTTTATTTTCTATTTGTGCATGGGATAAGGTAGGCTGAAATTTTACTTTTATTTCAAGATAGCAGTTGCTCCAAAACCATTGTGGAAAACACCATTTTTTATGAATTAGCTTGCAATAGCATCTTTGTTATAAGTAAAGTGACCATCTATATGTCCATCTGTTTCTAGACTGGTCTGTGTCCCTATCCCTTACATCAACGCTACACAGTCTTAAAGTTACCTTTATTATAAGTCCGGAAATCTGATCATATTTGCCCACCTTTTTTCTTCTTCCAAATTGTCTTGGTTCTTTCAGGTCCTTAGCTTTTCCACAAGAATTTTAGAATCAACTTGTCAAATTATGCACACAATCCCTGGTGGGATTTTTATTGAAATTGCCTTATATCTATAGATCAATTTGGTGAGAATCAACACCCTAACAATACTGTCCTCCAATAATTTTACATTTTATATCTATTTATTTTGGTCTTCTTTAATGTCACTCAGAAATACTTTATAGTTTTCAGTGAGTAGATCTTGCTTATGTTTTGTTGTATTACGCTTAAATTTTTGATGTTTTCATTTTATTGTAAATAGCACTTTAACTTCATTTTTAATCTTATTGCTAGTATACAAAAATATAATTTTAGATTAACCTTATATCAACATCAAAATAAAACTTATTTCAATATATTGTTCTTATATTCCATATTCTTTTAATTGCTAAATTCACTTATTAATTTTTATAGCTTGTATAGGCCAGGCACAGTGGCTCACACCTGCAATCCCAGCACTTTGGGGAGATTGAGGCAGGCAGATCACGAGGTCAAGAGATTGAGACCATCCTGACCAACATGGTGAAACCCTGTCTCTACTAAAAATACAAAAATTAGCTGGATGTGGCGGCACATGCCTGTAGTCCCAGCTACTCAGGAGGCTGAGGCAGGAGAATCACTTGAACCTGGGATGCGGAGGTTGCAGTGAGCCAAGATCGTGCCACTACACTCCAGCCTGGCAACACAGCAAGGCTCCATCTCAAAAACAAAGCAAAAAAAAAAGCTTGTATATTCTTTGATATTTTTAAGGTACAGAATATATGCAATTAAAGACAATTTTACTTTTTCTTTTCTAATGTTTAACATCTACATAAACTTTTTATGCCCTGTTGCTCTAGCTAGGACCTTTCATAAAAGTGATGACACTGGACATCATTGTCTTACTCTCAAATTTGGAGGATGGGGCATTTTCATACTGTTATGTATGATGTTAATTGTAAACATGGTAATAATTAATAGCATGTCTTAGTCGTAACTTCAGAGGGAAAGCACTCTTACTAGTAAGTATGATGCTAACCATGGGTGTATGGGGAGGAAAAATAAGCTCCCTTCTACCCTTCTAAAATGTTTGGCTGGGGCTTCTGAAACAAAATACAGACTAACAAGAGAAAACCAAACAAGTTTGTTAACATGTATATCTTACATATGCCTAGAGGATACCCAGAAAATAAGTAATTCTCACAGAGATAGCTTCAAACTCCAGCTTATACATCTTCAACAAAAAATAATAAACTTTTAGAGAAGTGACAAGACAAAAGAAAAGGACTTTGAGTCTCCTACAATTTAGGAAATTGTAGGAAGGCAAATATACAGGAAACTAATGGTAGATAAATGCTAGTTGTGTTATGTAGACGTTCTGCTGCTGTCTCCAGTCTGATAAGTGTCTAAAGTCATTTCTATCTGGTGATTTGCTTTTGGTGTTCTTGGTTGAGAGGGGAGGGGAGACTTTCATGTATATTTATGCCCTGCTTTTAGGAAAATAGGGAAAGGACAGAGAGTTTTTCTTGTATCTGCTTTTCCCCAATTGTCTTTAGCTCAAAATAAGCCTTATGCCAAAGTGGCATATTTTGGGGAGATATTTCTAATCTTTATGTTTAAAAGCTTCCGTCTTCTGTTAGATTACTAAGAAACATATAACAAATGGGTGCTAAATTTTGTCATTTTTTTTTTGCATCTACTGAAATGACTGTTTTTTTTCTTTCATTTGATTAATATAGCGAATTACCTTGAGTGACTTTTGAATGTTAAAACAACCTTACATTTCTCAAATAAACTCCATTTGGTCATGGTGTAATATTTTTATTATCATTGCATTTGATTTGATGATATTTTGTTTAGTATTTTTGTGTTTGTGTTCATGAGAGAGATTAGCATGTAATATTTCTTTCTTCTAGTGTCCCTGTCAAGTTTTTGTATCAGGATTTACTGGCCTCATAAAATAGGCTGAGAAGTATTCTCTCACTTATCTTTTCTGGAATAGTTTGTGTAGATTAGTATTCTTTCTTCCTTTCTTAAAGATTTAAAACTTAAATCAGTATATCTCCTCTATTTGCTTTTTACATTTCCCTTTTTCTATTTTTATAATATCTGGATACTCTAGAGATTTTACCGTGCAACTCTAACAACTTTAAGTTAACCTTATTACTCTTATTACTTCCCAAACAATGCAAAAACCTTGCAAAAATTTAACTACATTCGACTCTTCCTGACTTCTGTGCTACTGTTTTCATATATTTTACTTAATGTATAACACTATAAACCCTTAAAAGTCAATATCCTCCTATATTGAATTGCGTATGTCCCATTTCTGGTGGTCTTCATTCCTTCCTGAAGTTCTGTGCTTCTGAGATCCTTTTATTTCAGCTAGTACAACGCCTTTTAGTATTTCTTGTAGTGCAGGCCTACTAGGGACTGATATGCTCAGCTTTTGTTTGACTTAAAATGTCTTTATTTTATCACTATTTTTGAAGGATATTTTTCACTGTGTATGAATTCATAGATAAAAGTCTCTTTTTTTCATCATTCTGAAGATGTCATTCTATTGTCTTCTTGCTTCCATAGTTTCAGTTGAAAAATCTGCAATTGATTTTTTTTTATCAATTCTTTGAAAATAATGTTTTTTTCTTTTGCTGCTTTTAGTATTTTTCTCTTTACCTTTTCAATCAGAGTGTAATTATAATGTTTCTGAAGGAGTTTAGAACATGTCACTGCAAAATATGCTATTTGGGCATATTGATTATTTGAGCTAAAAGAAATTGACAAACAGCCAGTGCTTAAAGAAATCTTTACCTCCCTTTCAGCGGCTTAAGACAAAGTATAAATTTACCCTTTTATAAGAAAAATTTGATTTTTAAAGATAATTTTTATTGGCAAAAATATCTATACTAGGAAGAGAGTCACTCTGAGACAACTTTTATCACCTAAGAGATGTTTATCTGCATAACAAGGTAATTTTTATTTACCATATATTTCCTCCCTTCACTTTCCCATAATTTGTCTCCACCACTCTCCAGAAACTTTAATCCTCTATTCCTTTCTCTAGCATGGTGGTGGACACCTGTAATCCTTAGAACATTAAAGTCTCAGTCATCTGATAAGTCTCAGTCCTCTGACCACCTTCTTTAGTCTCATATTTTTGTGGGTCTCCTGTGTATACATAATTAAAGTTACTTTTCTCCTGTTAATCTATCTTATGTCAATTTAATGTGAAGACCAGCCAAAGAACCTAGAAGGATAGAAGAAAGCATTTTTTTCTCCCCTGTATTCTTTTTTTTGTTTGTTTTTTGGTATTTTTTTGAGATGTAGTCTCACTGTGTCACCCAGGCTGGAGTACGGTGGCACAATCTCGGCTCACTGCAACCTCCACCTCCCAGGTTCAAGTGATTCTGCTACCTCAGCCTCCCAGTAGCTAGGATTACAGGTGTCCACCACCATGCCAAGATAATTTTTTTGAGTTTTTAGTAGAGATGGGATTTCACCATATTGGCCAGGCTGGTCTCGAACCCCTGATCTTAAATGATTCACCAGTCTCAGCATCCCAAAGTGCTGGGATTACAAGTGTAAGCCACCACGCCCAGCCTTCTCCCCTATATTCTTATGTATAGTTTTC